ATAGGACCGCCCTGCTCCGAGGTAGCAATCAGTGTCAAACAAGTGAAAGACAGAAGGATAGAAAATTGGTTGGCTTGGAATTTTCGTATCGGCTAGGACCCCTCAAAACTCCTTTTGTAATTGTAATGCATTTTTGATCGTTGCAGGAGCAACGATCTAAAATGCATTACAATTCTGAGGAGCTGATCAATTCCTACGACACGGTTCTATTGTCCCATATTGTAGTACCGTACTATCCCTCAATTGTTGTCTCTAGGTGGGCAGTATGTAAAAAGGCATGCCCCAGGATCGCACTGGTGTGGCTCTTGCACACGAATGTGAATGTATCGGTGCGAAGTGGGCCGGCAGTAAAGAAAAAAGGAAAAGAATCCGTCGAAAACGCTCAGGTTGAGGGCTCACTCACCTTCCTAATTGGCTGTGCTAAGGCAATGAGAGACTAAGCGCGGAGAGGAGAGTATGAGGCGAGAGAGCGCAACAGATGAGAGGGCGCCAGACAACAGCCTGCTGCGGACGGGAAATTGCAGCTGCTGCAGCTAACTTTGCAAGGCCCTAGCGCTCTTGTCGGATGATTTCCATGCACGGAGTGCCACATCTGTAATTGTCCTTTGGGTGTCTGTCCTAAAGACCGAAGGGAATAGTTCACACGACTTTTGCCTGGACTGTGCCTTTAAGGGTGATCTTCATTCAAAGGATAACCGCAAGACTTGCTGTGTCCAAAGCCTGCTGCTGTACTAATCAATTCATAGCATTTTTGTTGGAAAATCCGTGCATTTGAGTGTGGTTGAAGGAGCTAGCGAATTGTTATACATTTCACTCTTCCTCTTACGCCACCTCTCTAAAGCTCAACATGTTCAGGGTGATTACATGAAAATCCTCCCACTACTCATCATGGGTCTCATGGCGCTCTCTGCCGGTACCTGCACATTCTTCCTGCCAGAAACCCTTGGCGCCCCGCTCCCCATGACAATAGAAGACGCTGAGAAACTTTGGTGAGCCTACCTTATCAATTCATGAGTGACTGTGAACGAGTTGGGTCAGTTTTCAGGAAAACGTCGCGGGTTGTTCACCTTTGCTCACGAACAGCGAAAGAAAAGAGAAAGCGCTCCGTTGATCGAGAACTTCAGAAAGAAAGCTCACAGTGTGTCCGTGGTCAGTCAGAACGGTTTTAGTCAAGAGAGCTCGAGAACGGCGGCTTTTAGAGGCAGTTGCTCGTGTAAGCGCGTGTCGGTTTGACATGTGTTAGCGATCTTATTGGAAAGATCACAAATGGTTGTAGGATCAATTTTTGATTTATGCATGACTACATAATTTTAGGTGACGATCAAATTTATTGGAGGAATAATAGTTGTTTGTTGGAAATGGTCAGTATCCTTCAATAAGAGATAGGACAAGTAGTAGGGTGGGCATGGCCGGATTTGTTTGACTGCGATCATGTTTGGTTGCTGAAGTCGGAAGCCCCTGTGAAGGCCAAGGTGTCAGGTATTGCACGCTATCTGTTCAGGCTTGTATCGTAGATAGAGAGGGTGAAAGGCGTGCTGTCGTAAACTTCTGCGGCTTGAATGTGCGCTGCAAGTTGTTAGAGATCGCTCGACCGAATCCACACTCTTATTGTTAGCCCGAGGGAGTGCCAGCCTTGCTTCGTCTGCGCCGCAAGAGTATGCGGCTTGAAAGTGCGCTACAAGCCGTTAGAAGTCGGCTCGACCGAATCCACACCTTCGTCCGCAAGCACAGCCCTCCATTCTTCGCGCTGCGAGGAGAGCGCGACCTCGATGCGGCTGGCAGGCGGTTGGCACTAAAGCATTCGATCTAGCGGTGGGCTTCTCATCCCAGTATTCAGACCCACATTATTCGAGGAGGTTTGAGTTGTTACAGCGAGAGCATTGTTGGCCATCACGCGAACTTATGCGATTTCGCTTGCTGCGGTTCCCAAACTTCCCGTCCTTCCCGCTAAGAAAACTTGCCCAGCTCTAAAAGTCTTTATACCTTCCAATAGCAACGTCCGCGACTTCTAGAGGCTTCTGGATGTAAAAAAAACGTAATAACCATTTTGTCAATCCGAGTGTTTCTACACAGAATACATGCCGAATACTTAGTAGTAGTAGGTTAAACTTAACTTTAATTGCGAGATGAGAAAACACCAACTTTCAGGAAAAGCCGCTTCATTGATAGGTCATTGATAACCCAATGATAACATAGAACTCGAAAAGTTTTGCAGCATAGGAAAAAGTACATGAAACAATCAGAATATGGAAAAAATAGGAGTTCTAAGAGCTCGGTTTCCGTAATTTGCACCCTTGCATGAGCCACTTTTTCATTTATTAAAAGTCTGAACGTGATAGGTCGCTACAGTCGTTTATCACTATTGCCACGAGAGGGCACTGGCGAGGGTAGCACATTGGGCCGTATGTTATCCGTCCCCCAAGCTAGATGATCAAAAGTTTCCTTTAAATTTATTTGTTTTGACGATTTTCAGTGCATGTTTACTTTTACCTACATACATACATTAAATGTAGGCCCTTTATCAGGGCAATCCCAGTTGGGAAGACAGAGAAAATTTAAAGGAATTTTCGTCCCCCAACCCTTCGGGGAGGATAGCATACGGCCCATTGTCTATTTTCAAGGACCGAGTTCAGGTAGTCCGTAGACGTTTCTGCCCGGCAAAACTAAATATCATTGAACAGAAAGGCACTGTGCAAATTCAGGAGATATCTTCATGCCAGACGCATCACCCTGACGGTATTCTCGAAACTTGTCGGTATCAATTTTGCAGCGTCCAAAAGGGCCTCAACACTGTCCTCCAGATGGTAGACGACAGTTGACGCGTGACGGATGTGCCCTGATGCACCCTGAACAAAACCGACTAAATTTTGCCGTACCACATAGAAAATTTGAGAATGGAGCAGTTTGGAGACAGACCTGAACGGCGGCAAGAGTGTTGTCCAGGCACGTCTCCATATCATTCACCATCTTCATTGTGGGTTGGACCCGTCTCACGGCTGCTGTCAGAACATCTTCACCCAGCTTCCGCCACCTCTGCTCCAATTTCTCATCAACATGAACTCGAGCTCTGCAATGCCTCGATTACCGTATCTTTTCAGGTGTTTCCTGAGTGTTTTTCAGAATGAATTGATTCGCTCATTTACCTGCTGCTTCAATTTCAGTACTACTACACACCAATTAGGCCGATGTCAGACTTTGCGAATCGCGCGATTCGCTAGCGTCTGCGGTCGCGTCGCGGCCAGTGAATCACTCAATTGGCTGGTACCGCAACGCGACCGCGGACGCTAGCGAATCGCGCGATTCGCAAAGTCTGACATCGGCCTTACCGTAGGTTGCTATTATTGTAGAAGTTGTTGAGCCACGACTGTGATTTCCAAATCGATTGCCTTCCATACCTTACAGTACCACCGAAAAAATAAACACTGCTGACGTCTGTTGCCATAACTCTTGTCAAAGGTGACATTTTTGGCCGATTTTTGACACCATTTTTCATGCTCCACCGTTTTTTGTGCCTTAGCTTACTTTTACTGCCTAGCCGATTATGGAGAAGTTGCGATTTCAGCTTGTTACAATACCGTATATTTTAAAGGCAAAAGTCGGGCTCAATAAGGGGGTATTATGGCGATTGAAACTGAGTATAGAGATGCGAAGTGGAACGACAGTGGAGAAAAAACTGAGAAAAACCGTCGACAAGGCCGTTAACAAAACCCTCTTTCCCACTAGCAGTGAAGGAGGCTGGCTTGGGGAAAGAGGCACGTACAAACAAGTTTTCTGGAGATGTCAGTCGTTCTATCGGTTGATACGGCAATCAACCTAGCTGATTTCACACGTTATGCCAGCCACGCACCACTTCCGGAGGTGGGCGGTCCTGGATTGACCAGGCGGCCCTGGATTGAAACCGAACGCCCCGGGGCCTTAACGGGGTTTTTCAAGGTGGGAAGTTGCTGCAATGTGTGCAGCTACCCACATACAACCTCCAGGCACGGGAATTACTTCTCTAGCGTGCCTGAGCCCGAACCTTTGTCTTTAGTCGATTTTTGTCGAATTCGTGAATTACAATAGAATCTGCCATAATCTCGGAAATTTGATAATGGATCCAAGAGTCACACCTCTGGCCCCGCAGTTTTGAGTCCTCTAAACATTTTTTAAATTATTACTAATGGTAACGTGCTGAAAAATATCACATTTGATAAGAGTTATGCCACAAAACGTCTGCGCTGATTTCTTTTTTGATGGTGCATACACACACATGTTTCTAATCCCCTATTGTCTCGAAGACAAAGAAGGACCTTTAATTAAATGTCATTATTCTATTGTTACCCAGTACTCCGAAAGTTAGGTTGATGAAAAACTGGAAGAGTTAATTGAGCCAGTTTTCTTTCTCCGAGCTCGGGATTCCACTGGTAAGTCCCTCGATGGTGGAAACGACCACATTCAAAAAATAAGAACTAGCCCAGGAGTCCCGAAAATTGTTCGAGCGCACATGGTCGAAATCAAATAAATTCCAAAGGCTGCCGCCGCCGCCGCCACAGCGAGATGTTATCACTAAGCAAACCCAACAGCGAAGCGAAATGAATTGCGTTCCAGACAGCACTGTGGCGATTATGGTTACAAGACGGACATGGAATGTCATCAAGAAGGCTGAAAAAGCTGTGTATGTAAAGCAATAACATTAAAGCCAGAAGACACTCGCTTAGGAGCCTACAAGAAGAGGTAAGACACGTCATTAAAGGACCGTCACTGAAGTCAGAGTCGACAGGCAGCATATCCCTGATGGCACACAGGGCGATATTTCAGCAAATGGCGCAAAAGTGTGCAGCGATGAAAGAAAGTGCATAGATGACAAGAGAAGGCGTATACAATATTATTTTGCAGGAATTTTTTTGATTATTCAATTAAATTGATTGTGTATGCTCTGTTTTAGGGGGGAGGTCATGTCAAGACTTCGATTTCAGTGGAGGGTCGTCTTTCCTGGCGACCGATGCCGATCACGATCCACCCTAGCTGCTCCAACATTACGACTTTTAGATGCAAAGCGGAGTGGTCTCGTACTTCGCAACGATTCGTAGACGTCTTGCGTTCCCTTCTTACCGCTAAACTCGGCCGAGGGAAGAATGAGAAAGGCTAGCCAGCGCTAGCCTTGACTGCATAAATCCCTCTATTCACGACTGACTACGAGACGCTGATCCGTCTTGAACCTTGAGCCCTCTCGAGAGTAATGTGCGCTGCTGAACGACCTCCCGCGTACAACGATGACCTTTCCGCATTTCGCGAGCGGGAAATGATCGATGCACTTTCAAGAAGGACCATTGAAAAAGTGAAAGGTCGAGTGAAATCGCTGCATGAGTGCGGCAACTCGCCCGTCCTTTCGCCCGTCCTCCAAAGGCTACTGAAGAACCAAAAGAGGAGAGTTTGACCGACTGCTAGCATTCTCTCCATAGAGAACATGCGAAAAATACGATTAACCTCAGAAAGCGTATGCTATTTTCGCATGAAAAATTTCAAGGATTCCATATGTGCACGAAATGTGCTACATACGAGCTTAGCAACTTGCTCTGAACAAAACTCGAGGTTTTCTAAAGTAAAGGCAGTTCAAATTACTGGTTTCCGGCTGTTTTTTCTTTGAGCAGCACCTTAACCACTGTACAAAACTCCGCAGAAGGACCTATCACTGCGGAAGATGCGTTGCCCTTTCCGAGTCTCAAAGAACGCTCAGCAAAGAGAGTAATACTTCTGACTAAGATACCGTGACCTAAACCTAAAGGCGCCGGCCGCGATTGGATTGGTGTGGTTACTTGTTCGAAAATCAGGTACAGAGTGCGAAGAGGAACGTTAGTAAAGAAAAAATCAAAAAGCACCATACGTGAAACGCACTGAAATTTTCTCACTAAGGTCGCCCGTGGGACGACGAAGGGATACAACGCCGCGAGGTGGGACGCAAAGAGCAACTCGCAAGCGATTGATAAGAATGGCAGCGGTTGCAGCGGTCAGCGAAGGCATTAGCCAAGTGAAGAGGTAGCGTCCAATGATCTAGCCACGACCCGTGCGTTTAAGTTGCTCCTCACCCATGCCACTCCACCCGAATGCCGCGTATGCATAGATTCCCGGTCCACACAGAATGCTATCTCTGTGTCACTGAGGGTCGAGAAACGGGCTGTAAATGTTTGTTTCTGCCCTCAGGGACATGTACTGGTTTATATTTGTAAACATCAAGATCTGAGATCTGCTACTCTAGTCTTGCTTTATGCAGATATAAGGCGTAGAGGGTCGTGAAACCCCGAAATCACTCAGATAAACGCCTCTAATCTCCAAAAGACCAACCTTTGTGGCATAGCCACGCTCTCACAAGGGTTCAGCAGATGCAGCTGTACTGACGTAGATGGAGTATCAGCGCTGAATTCGTCGTCAGTTTCTGGTGCCTTCTCCTTCAATGACCACAGCTCTATTCAAACGAGCACGGTTAGGCTTTCTTGGGAAGTTCTCCTCGATCTCTGAGTTTTTTCCTCTTACAACGACAGGTCCGCTCATCTGAAATTGAGGAAATTGCAATTGAATTGGAACGCAGATTTCTCTTTAGAGAGGTTTGTACGCCAGTGAAGGGTGAAATCAGACCAGTAGCTCTAATAATACAGAATTAGTAGCCTTGAGGTGATGTTAGTGGTTCCAAAAATGAGACTGAGTTGGATAAAAAAACTGATCCCTGAAACTGGTTTTAATGGCTGCGAAACGGACCGGTTTGTCTCGACTGACTACGAGAATTGAGAATTTCCAACGTTTCTCGTTTCGCTGTAGGAACGTTCGGAAACTGTTTTATTTTACTGCCCACGGCAGGCTTATAGCCTACCGAACTTTGTGGATTGCTTCTTTTCTTCCTTGACATTCAAAGGTTACTTTCACCTCATTGTGGTGCCAAGGTGGTTGGAAGAGGCGTGCGGGGGAGGGCTGCGCACGGCTTCTCACTACAAAGCGGGGAATTCGTGAGCCAGAGAAATGTAGGCGATTTGGAGGAAGGAAGCGAGTGCGAGTGAAACGTAAGAGCTCGAATCTGCGAGTTTACACAATCTCGCTGAGAGGACGCAGACATGCCCGCGGCCGCGACGGCTACTCCTCCCTTCCGCCCCCCCCCACCTATCTTTAGCGCCCTTATTTTAGTACTTGCTCTCAGTCACATCACCGAGAGCGAGGCGTGTGGGAGGGGACCGTGGGACGTACTGCACGAGACGATTACCTCCTCCTTCTCGAAGCGGATTCAAACTCCTCTTCAAAGGGATTGAACCTTCCCTTTTTAAGGGAAACGAACATTCTTCTCGAGTGTTAACGAGCTCCCCCTCTCAGGGGTACACCCGACCCCACACCGTCAGCCTTCAGAAGTTCGCCTAATACTCTACGGCCACCACCGGCACCACATCGGTCGCCTTCTTAACAGTATTGCATTCTAAGATCCTGAGATCACTAGGTATACTACTCTGCCCACTTTTTCCTCTAAAATGGCCCCAGAGGTGGGAGGGGAGAACGACGGACATGAGGAAGCTTTCAGAACTAGAAGCGAAAAAAGGAACTGTGTATTGACCAAATGCCGGCTTTTCGAAATAACGTCGTAAAATGAATGCCATTAGATGTAATTTATTACAATCCAACAGCCTTGACAGCAAATATAATGCCACACAGCTGGCCAGAAACACCCTTACATCTCTGCCATTCTTCGAGCAGTGAATTCCTTGCGTTACACCCCAAACTACAAGGCCCTACTCTTTGTTAAAGCACTAAGAATAACACAACCTTTGCCTTGGAATGCGAAAGTTCTATAAATTGAGCCCCGAGGCTACAGTATTCAACAATAAGAACGAACAGAAAACAGCACTCATAAATAAGTGAGTGGATCAATACTGGCAGTATCGTCATGAGAGTAAAGGCACCTTATCAACTGAGGCAGCTGGGTCGCGTGGAGGTGGTCAACATGCAATTTCTCCTGATATTGATCAGCTGAATGTAAAGAAGCAAAAAAACACAGTCAAAACTGAAGAGCAATGTCGCTGCAAATAATTTGGATTCGTTGCCTGGTGCAATGCTAGTTGGATGGGCGCGCCGATTTTTTGATTACGGTAGGCGCAAAATGTACGTGGGCACTGGAGCCTATTGCTACGGCCTAACAAATCGATGCACTAATCCTTTTGAGGCTTAGACTATCAATCGCTTGTGTATTTTCGAACAATCCAGCAAGAAATAAATCAATGGCGGAAAAAGCGGAGAGATAGCCATTATCGATTCCCACAGCGTCTCGTTAGTTCATAGCAGTAGACACCAGCCCCCACATACATTTCGCTTCTACCGTATTCAAAAAATCGGCGTGCCCATCCGACTAGCATTGCACCACTCAGTTTCTCTGAACGATAAACTGTTGGATGTAATCAAAGACCTTCTATTTCGTCACAGGACCAGCGACAGCAATGATGCCACTATTAAACTGCGTCACGCTTAAAAAAACTTCTGCTGCGGAGCAATAATAATAGAACGTGAACGAAACATTCAAGACGTGCCATCCGGCGTTTCAAAACATATCGATTCCTCGAGCCACCCGGTTCCGCGACGAGTCGAACAATGGTCTCGCGTCTCATTTGAAGAACCTAATTACCATTGAACAAAAGCTTCTTTGATTGGAGGCGCAGCTTCACTCCCGAATCTAGCCGAGATAATGGTGTTTGTCCAAGTTCTTAACACCGTAACATCAAAAGGAACTGTCATTCTCTCAATCCTCTCTCGACACGTTTTCCGCGCCAACGCGTTCGCTGAAATTTGTCCACCCAGGGTTATATTTTGAAAGTTATGGGAGAAGCAAACTTTTTGGCAACTGAAATCTACTTATCAAACTTGAAAATTTTGCCCTCGCAACAGAAATTTATCCCGTTGCCTTAGATTCCTTGGAGGTGCAAAAAACAGGGTAGTTAATGCAGTAGGGTGTAAACGCTCGGAGCAAAGCTCTGGACAGGGTTGTCGAGAAGGGTGAGTTCGGATTTGCGCGCGTAGGTGGGGGGGGGCGCTGGTGAAGCATAGGGTCAGGCACAGATCTTACAGTGTGACTACACCCTTGTCCTGAAATCAGGTGTTAGTTTCGGCATAAAGGAAATCTATGCAAAAACTGTATAGAAAAAATATAATAAAAAAACTTATGGAAACTGCCTTGCCTGTTGGTCTGAGAAAACCAGGCCGACGAAGTAAGAATTGTTATTTGAAAAAAGTGATACTTTGAACTCACAAGCTTCTGACGTCACTACAGCCGAAAATTATTCCAAGATAATGCCGGAAGGAAAGCGACATAAATGAAGAAAGATGAGACTGTGCTATGGTTTAAAGAAATTTTTAAGTACACAACACCGCGGGTTTGTTCGGTCTGCACCAAGAATCCTCCGAAAAATTCCTTGACACCTTCCAAATGACTCCACGTGGGGCTGCATACATGGCGCACACCAGAACGAAATCGATCGAAGCCTGATGCATGATTTTTTGGGCGCTGTGTCAGTATCGGATCCTTGCAAGAGCATGGATGGAGGCTAAATCGGAGCAATGAAACGGCAAGTCCTCCAATTTTGTCTACTTCACGCCATTTTCTGCAAATTGCATTAGATCCTTCAAAAAACCCCGTCTGAAGAGCAACCCCTTTCAACGGCCTCTGTTCCCACTATGATAACCTTGCTCAACCCCAGAATAAGGCCCCCTAACAAATCAACAAATGACCCTCTCGTATTGAATAATTGGACGAATGTTGACTCTGGTCGAACCCCGAATAGGATTAATATGTGGACGGATGGTTGCCTCTGGCTCTGAAAACCCGATAGATTATTGTCACCCTGATAATGTATGCTATACGAAGTTATTACGAATGTGCTTTTAAAGCAACAGTTCAGGAACGGTTTCGCGGGAAAAAACCACCAATAATGAAGTTGTAGATGAAAACCAGACGATTAATGTATGAAAAACTGGAAAAAAACGTCGGGGAGGGTCTTAGACAGGTACTCTCCCTCTGCCGCTCAGCAATGGATAAAGACGCACGTTGGACGAGTTGTCTGAACGTGCCCGCTGTAAACGCGCTCCATTTTTCAATCAATTTTCCCTGTGGTCCCAAAACGAGCACGATTGCCGACGCGTCCAATGACGGCCGGCAAGGGGGCGGGATTGGGGAAATCCCCAAGAACACCCATGTTTGAGGGACTTTCCACCCTGTTTTTGAGTTTCTGAGGTAAGTTCGTTTATTATTTCCACTGCATATGTTCTTCACTAGGGCTCGTGTATCCCTCAGTAGTAGTGGCATTGAAATTTTCGGACCCTCCCTGAATGTGTGCTCTTAAAGGAAACATTGACCTAGACCCGGGTAAATTGAAACTCCGTGTGTCCATGATACGAAATTGAAAAAGAAACGTGCCAATCCATCTCCGATTCACGATATCATATAAAAAAAGACTCTCAATATTTGTTGTAGTCCGTCAAAGCTAAGCAAGGCTTCCCAAATCAAAACAGTGTTCCACTATTAGACGGGAATCGAAGTATCCAGAGCGATTGCGCTCTTGAAATTGATGACAGATTTGCAAAAACACCAACAACACATCAACGAAGGAAGTCAAGGTGCAATCCCCTCCCCCCGCGCCCCCTAGAACATGAGCAGGTGAATATAGGTAAACGATGAAATGGGGGAAACCACCGTAAAGGGAAATATCTGGGAATTTTTTGCTTTGACGGGTTTCATGGTCGTTTAATTACCCCACTTTTCCCCCGCTCGCCGGTCTTTGAAAATAGAAAATAAAAGTTGTAAAGACGGGGTCGTCTGAAAATTCTCATGAAGGGGGGGGGAGAGGCTCGTAAAAAATCTCAAAAGTTCAAAGTAGGGTTGACCACTGCTTGTGAGATGGGAGGGATGTGCTTACCGTCCGGCACACTATTGCAGGCACTTACTGCTGCCACACCTATCCTCCATTTTTAAGCATAATTCGATTCCTGATTGTTTTCCAGCCCGTAAACTAGCTCAACAAGCATAGGAAGCCAATTGGAAGATGAAATTATTAAAGTAAAATTAAAATTTTAATATAATTAATATTAAATTTAAAATTAAAAATTCACAGTTAAATTATGAAAGCAAAGTGAGTCCCCATTTTAGTGGCTTAATCCAATCGCATTCTCAAGATCTTGCAGCATAGATTGCCACATTTGAGCTACCACGTTCAAAATTGGCATAACTCTCGCTCCCCCCCCCACCCAACTATTTTGCACCAGATTGGTCTAGAACTGAGCGCTTTCGAAGGGTATAGACTCCATGCGTGTCCTTGCTATAAAATAGCGGCCTTTCGCAAAAGTGCAAAAAAAGAATTGTGGTGCAAGACAAGTGGACGAAGCAACTTTGACTGTTTTCTCGGACGGTAGGCGCGAGTATGTACTAAGTGGGAGAGTTGTTCGGAAAATATGACTACAGACGCTATGAAGTATTCACTATTCCTACTTTCATCATGAAAATGTTGCTGCCCACCCAACTTGGTGTACCA